GGTAAGGCTTACATAAAACTCGTCAATTTCGACATTTATTCCTAAATATAAAATGCAACTAATTGCAACTCATTAACCGCGCCTCCAGACAGCCAGAGTTAGCCCCCAGACAGTCCAGAGTTAAAGACTTGGGTGAAAAATGAAATTGGAGGCTGTGCAAACAAAGATAAGAAACGTTTTGCTGCAAAGAATTGCTTTTCTTAGTTTTCTGTACAATCCTATTTGGAAGACTCGCTCACGAACCCATCAAAAGTCATGTTTTCCTTATCTAAAATGACCCAGATCAACAAAAATGATCAAAAGTGTTTACCGTTACTATTTCCCTGAATTTCAGACCTCTGAAAATCGAAAAACAATAGGGGACAGCTCATTTTCGGCAGAGATGCACGAAAATGAAAAAAAACGAAAAAAACGCCTATAGGAAGGAAAAGAAAAGAGAATTTTTTGTTCCTTAAGGCGAAAAGAAGGAAGGAAATTTAATTTAACTTAAAGCTAAAAAAGAAAGAAAGAAACGAAAAATTTTCGTGCATCTCTGATTCTCGCGGTCAAAAATTCGAGAATAATACTAAAATCGGGATTTTTGATGGGTTCGTTTTATTCCTAGTATTGGAATTATGTTCTATACTATAAATTCAGTTAATCATTTAAAATCAAACCAAAATTGATGAACAAGATAAATGAAGCAATAAACACCAATGGACAAATCAGGGTCCTATTCTAACCAAACAGCCTTCTCACCCATTAATCAAATCAGTTGAGGACACTTTTTTAGGATGTAAATAGATCGATCTCCCTCGGGATCCCGTCCCGGCATCGGTCAAAAAATAAAATCCCGACTCGGGATCCCGGATATTTTTTTTATAATTTTCGGGATTTTTATAATTTTCAAAATTTTCGCCTGCTGCGCTGAAAAATGAAGGAATCTGGCTTAAGCAACTCCAAAATTCTCAAAATTTTCGCCTGCGGCGCAAAGAAGGAAGATTTTTGGCTTAAGGGTCATCCAAAATTTTAAAAATTTTCGCCTGCGGCGCTGAAAACGGATATGTTTTGATTTATTATTGCAGTAAAGTGGAGGAATATTAATACATGTAGTGGGATTTTATCAAGGGACCTAGTGATTAATCCACCGATATCCCTCTAAATCCATTATAGAGGGAATTAAAGGAGGAGAACAATCCATTTATAAAAAATTATTGATATTTTTACAAATTTAATTTTATTTACTTACAAGGGAACATATGTTACTGTGACCGCGAATTTGGTATTTTTTTTGGTACCATTCGATAGAGGACCCCCGACTTACTATTGCAAAGTGCTATCCGTTTTCTTGCAAAAAATTTTTAAAAAAAGTTATGGCCGTTCAAAGTTTCAGTCCTTGGGGTTGGTTGAGTATAAGCAAGAGGGAAAATAAGCGCGCTATAACTTTTTTTTCACTTCTCTGCTTTCTTCACATTATTTTTAAAGAGGAAAAAAGAATGCAAGAGTCGCGAGGAAAAAAGAAGGGAGAAAAATGTCAGACACAATAAACAAAGAGAAGGGGCGTGGCTTGTTCTTTGAGGATGAAAAATAAGAAGAGGGAAAATAAGCGCGCTATAACTTTTTTTTTCACCCTCTCTGCTTTCTTTATATTGACTTACAATGATGAGAAAGAACGCAAGAGGCGCGCAGGAAAAAAATGAGGAAAAATGGTAGACACTGTAAATAAAGAGAGGATGGGCGTGTTGGTTTTTTGAGGATGAAAAATAAGAGAGAAATTGTTTACTTACCCTATAACTCCAGACTCGAGCGGTCTAACTTTGACTGGCCATAACTTTTTTTAAAAATTTTTTGCAAGAAAACGGATAGCACTTTGCAATAGTAAGTCGGGGGTCCTCTATCGAATGGTACCAAAAAAAATACCAAATTCGCGGTCACAGTAACATATGTTCCCTTGTTAGTATAAATTGCAGTATTTAATGCACTTTATTCATAAAAAGTTTAAATTTTTTATTTTGAAAAAAATCCCGAATCCCGGGCGGGATCCCGGATAATTTTTTTCGGGATTTTTTCGGGATTTCTCCCTCGGGATCCCGTCCCGGCATCGGTTAAGAAAAAAAATCCCGACTCGGGATCCCGGAAGTGCGATTTTGCCGGTCTCTAGTATATACTTCCCAAAAATTGAATATGCGTCCAATCAGAGAATATCAGTCAAGATCTATTAAGCCAACCAAATCCACTTAATTACCCCTAATCCTTCTATAGTCTTCCATTGGAACTACCTTTTCATACCGTAAGCAAAATTACGAGAATTTTGGAGGGCCAAAGAACCGGATTCCTTCCATTTACAATGCCTCCCGATCTCGACTGCTGGCTTATACTGGTTTTGGGGCGTTTATACTTTGAAGTGACGCACAATTCACGGGACGCATGTCTAGAGTACGCCATCATTTTTCAAGTTAGCTAATAAATGGAAAAAATTAAACTTGCGAAAAAGCATCAGCAGCCACACAATACATACTTCCAATCATCGAGTCCATAACTTTCACACAAGTCATTTTCCTAAATAAAAAAATGAGTAAAAAATAATAACTTTAAAATAAAAATATAAATGTAAGTAGCCAAAAAGTTTACAAGGATAGCATTGGGAAATTTCGTCAAGCTGAGTAATTCAAAAACCGCTTCGTTACGGTCTCCCTAGACAAGTAATCACACCGCAGCAGAGCTCGACCATCAACTTATCCCGTTAGTAGCTTAAAAAGTTTTTCATGCAGATTCCCCATTGGCTCAGCTTGACGAGCTTTCAAATAATAATTAGTAAAATTCTGGAAGCTTAAACTAATCAAGTGCAACAAACTTCACCCCCGGTGTTTTCAATAAAATCTAAGTAGCAAACCCAAAGCCGTTTGGAAACCCAAACCCCAAATTTTAAACTAAACCTTATTGGATTCACCTGAATAGAAATAAAAGCATTGCCATGATTTAGATCAATCTTCTGAACATATTGAACAAATTGAGATCTTGTATCTGAAAAAGAACAAATTAATTTTAAAAATCAGGTGAAAAAAAATTAATTTTAAAAATCAGACGAAAAGTAGTAAAATCTCAAAAACAGAAAATCTAAAATTTAAAGCATAAAAGGAAGCCATTTTTAAATTTGAATCTTGATAGTTTTTCTTTCTCTAATTCCCTAACTATCGGAGCAGGACGAATAGGCGCAGCCGAATAGGCGCAGACGGATAGGCGCAAGTTTTTCGGCGCAGCCTATTTTCGGCGTTTAACGCAAAAACGCGTAAACACATCAATTTACGCGGAAAAAAGTTTTTGCCGCTGCGGAGGAAGCCGGGCATGTCGAGCGGAACGACGGCCGCCGCTTCGCTACGGTCGCCGCGAGCGAAGCGAGCACGTTATTGCAGTAAAGTGGAGGAATATTAATACATGTAGTGGGATTTTATCAAGGGACCTAGTGATTAATCCACCGATATCCCTCTAAATCCATTATAGAGGGAATTAAAGGAGGAGAACAATCCATTTATAAAAAATTATTGATATTTTTACAAATTTAATTTTATTTACTTACAAGGGAACATATGTTACTGTGACCGCGAATTTGGTATTTTTTTTGGTACCATTCGATAGAGGACCCCCGACTTACTATTGCAAAGTGCTATCCGTTTTCTTGCAAAAAATTTTTAAAAAAAGTTATGGCCGTTCAAAGTTTCAGTCCTTGGGGTTGGTTGAGTATAAGCAAGAGGGAAAATAAGCGCGCTATAACTTTTTTTTCACTTCTCTGCTTTCTTCACATTATTTTTAAAGAGGAAAAAAGAATGCAAGAGTCGCGAGGAAAAAAGAAGGGAGAAAAATGTCAGACACAATAAACAAAGAGAAGGGGCGTGGCTTGTTCTTTGAGGATGAAAAATAAGAAGAGGGAAAATAAGCGCGCTATAACTTTTTTTTTCACCCTCTCTGCTTTCTTTATATTGACTTACAATGATGAGAAAGAACGCAAGAGGCGCGCAGGAAAAAAATGAGGAAAAATGGTAGACACTGTAAATAAAGAGAGGATGGGCGTGTTGGTTTTTTGAGGATGAAAAATAAGAGAGAAATTGTTTACTTACCCTATAACTCCAGACTCGAGCGGTCTAACTTTGACTGGCCATAACTTTTTTTAAAAATTTTTTGCAAGAAAACGGATAGCACTTTGCAATAGTAAGTCGGGGGTCCTCTATCGAATGGTACCAAAAAAAATACCAAATTCGCGGTCACAGTAACATATGTTCCCTTGTTAGTATAAATTGCAGTATTTAATGCACTTTATTCATAAAAAGTTTAAATTTTTTATTTTGAAAAAAATCCCGAATCCCGGGCGGGATCCCGGATAATTTTTTTCGGGATTTTTTCGGGATTTCTCCCTCGGGATCCCGTCCCGGCATCGGTTAAGAAAAAAAATCCCGACTCGGGATCCCGGAAGTGCGATTTTGCCGGTCTCTAGTATATACTTCCCAAAAATTGAATATGCGTCCAATCAGAGAATATCAGTCAAGATCTATTAAGCCAACCAAATCCACTTAATTACCCCTAATCCTTCTATAGTCTTCCATTGGAACTACCTTTTCATACCGTAAGCAAAATTACGAGAATTTTGGAGGGCCAAAGAACCGGATTCCTTCCATTTACAATGCCTCCCGATCTCGACTGCTGGCTTATACTGGTTTTGGGGCGTTTATACTTTGAAGTGACGCACAATTCACGGGACGCATGTCTAGAGTACGCCATCATTTTTCAAGTTAGCTAATAAATGGAAAAAATTAAACTTGCGAAAAAGCATCAGCAGCCACACAATACATACTTCCAATCATCGAGTCCATAACTTTCACACAAGTCATTTTCCTAAATAAAAAAATGAGTAAAAAATAATAACTTTAAAATAAAAATATAAATGTAAGTAGCCAAAAAGTTTACAAGGATAGCATTGGGAAATTTCGTCAAGCTGAGTAATTCAAAAACCGCTTCGTTACGGTCTC